TCCCGTCCCCACCACAGACACCCTGTGAGGAAGGTGGAGCTGAGAGAGCTCTGAGAGAACTGCTTGTGAGAAAACAGCTCTGAGAGAACTGTGGCTGGCCCAAGGTCTCACCGGCAGCTGCATGTGGAGGGAGTTCTCCCAGATTAGAGTCCGCGCTCCTAACCACTACACCAAACTGCGAGGGTCGTGACACAGAGGCGGGCCACACCAAACCATCTCTGAACATCTCGTACCGTGGAAACCCCACCAAGGGTCACTGTAAGATAGATGTGACTTGATGGCCAAAAAAAAAAAAAAGAATTCAGTGTGCATATTATGGGGGGCAAAATGGGAAAGAGAATTTTTTTTTTAACGAGCGGGATTTGAAAGCTGTTTTCTCCCCCTTTCTCAGAAATAGAAGATATTAAGCTAGCAAGAAAACTACAAAAAGCAGAGGCAAAGAGAAAAGCTACCCCAGTCGTCGGAGACATGAATCCATTGATGGACGCTTTGCCTGAGCTCTCAGACCTGGTAACCGTCAGCAAGTTCTCCAAACAGCCAAAGATGTACGTACGCCTATTGTGCTGAAGTGGTTTTTTTTCTCTTTAATTTAGGTCATTTGTGATGTTTGGTTAAGTAAGCTTTGAAGCCAGAATAATTCCAGAGGGGTAGCCATGCGGTTCTATTGTCGCAAAGTAGAAAAAGAAACCCGATGGCTTCCTGAAGGCCAATAACGTTTATTCCAGTATGAGCTTTCGTGAGTCAGAGCTCAGTTCTTCAGAAGCTGTGAGCGGTGATTCACAAAAGCTGGTTCTGGGTAAATTATTGTTTCTCTTTAAGATGACACTGGACTTCTGTTTTCTTTTGAAGCCAGAACGCTTTCTTAGCCAGACTGGGCTGCATGTGAGGGCCAAGAAGTTATTTTCTTTCTGATTTCTTGATAGTAACAGGGGTATAGACATCTTCATGGCTGTTTCCACTAGGCGAACATGTCCCCATTGGGTGTTCCATCCTAGTATCCAATAAAACTAATTGAATGCTGAAAATCTGTTTTTGTTTTAAAAGGGAAAGTTTCCAAGTCCTGATGGGTTAAAATTAATACGAAAGCATATGAGGGTCTTGGCTACAAATAAAGCAGGGTTTCATACCCCGGTGACTTCAGAATAATCTGTTTGAAGTACTTGAAGATCTGGATTATGGACATTTGGGCGGGGTGTGTGTCTCTGTCCGGACTCTTAATGCTCACCAGAAAGTGCATCTGTGTGTGTCCCCCAGCTCCATCTAGGGTTGCCCGTCTCTGGGTTGGTAAATTCCTGGGGAATTTGGGAGGGGTGGAGTCTAGGGAAGGTGGGGGTTTGGTGGGAGGGACTTCAACAGGGTAAAACACCATAGAGACCAATTTCCAAAGCAGCCATTTTCTCCAGGGGGACTGATTTCTGTAACTCGGAGACCCAACAGTAATTCTGGGATACCCTCCAGCTGCCACCTGGAGATTGACAGCCATACCTCCATCCTAAACCACTTCACTTGGCATCTGACTTCTCGTTTGAGTCTCGGTAGCTGCATCGACCGCTTTACCAGGTTATCCAAAAACTGAAGGGAAACTCATCCTGATGATAGAAAGGACGTGCACCAGACAGTGAAGCTTGGGAAACACTTACAAATAAGCACCAGGCCGTAGCTGCAATACTTCTCTGCATTTGTACAACATTTTCAGTCAATAGAAATCCACACTCAAGGGATCTTCCGATGGGCCAGTCTGGATCCTAATTTCTACTTGGAACTGCGGTCTTGGAATTAAAAATCAGACATCCCAGCATGTGAGTTTTTACTTAGCCGCCTTTGATGAAAATTAGTTCACTTGCATTCATTGCAGCTTTCAAGGTTTTTTTTTTAATCTTAAGCTTTAAATTTTACTTTAAACCATCTCACAGGCAGACTTTATTCAGCCTTCTGAACGCAGCGCACAAATATTCAATTGCACCAGCTTTCCTGCGGTTACCCTTTGATACAAAGTCTGTTGAAATTGTTAGAATCAAAAAAGTCTAATTTCCTTTGATTCCCCCCCCTTTTCATCGTGTCTCGAAATGACACACTTTGTTCACGATCTTAAGAAATTCTGTTTGATTCAGCAGGTTTATTCTTCCACGTTTTTAAGCAGAATAGTTTCCCTGCACGCTTCACATGTTAACTGTTGTTTACAGCTACCCTCCCCTCTGTTCCCCGCTCAGTTTTCATGTTCAACGTCTGTTGGGGGAGGCTGCTCACTCCTCCCTCCAGGAAATCATATGACCTCTGGTTGACTTGGATTTAACCCCAGATTGAACCCCAGGCAAACAGGTGTTTGAGGAATAGCAAAACACAAGAGCCATGGACCCTTTCCTACCTGCCTTCTCAAAACCTATTTGGCTGTTGTTGTGTCGGACTCTTTTATTCTTCCACAAGGGCAGGGGTCATTTCGTAGAAAAAGAGGTGCAGGAGCTCATTAGCATAACTCATTAGCATAACTCATTTGCATATGCCACACACCCTGACATCACCGGAAGTGTGTCAGAAGGCAACACCCACCGCTCAGGCTCCACTGGACTGTTTTGGATTGCTAGCTATGGGGGGGGGGACGTGCAGATCTGCCCTCACAGAGGAGGGAGAGCTTGTACCTTGTAAACCTTGGTCTTAAAGGTGCCCCTGGTCTGTTTTGGATTGCTAGCTATTGGGGGGGGGGCAACATGCAGATCTGTCCTCGCAGAGGAGGGAGTGCTTGTACTTGAGTAAACCTTGGTCTTAAGGGTGCCACTGGACTGTTTTGGCCTGGGGGCCCGGGGGGGGGTGCTCTGCAGCTTACCTGGCTGCTTCTTGCTCTGACTGAGGGCTGCTGGGAGCAGGGGTTGAGGCTTGTTGCATGTGCCCACCCCCTGGGCTCTTTACTGCCGGAGCTCCGCTCCTGTGCGCTCCCGCAGGAAATGACCCCTGGCTAAGAGTATCATAATTGTACTGAATTTCTTCATAGGCTGGGAGACTGGCCCCCCTTCACAAGCCCCAGAAATGGCCCAAGGACAAACAGCAATGAAAATTTAACTGGAGGTGCCAGTTATTGAACCTGGATCCTTCTGCATGCCACTGCGCCAGAATAGCTCTCTCCACACTGTCCCCACCTTGAAAGTGCAAAAGTACCTCGCAGCTCATATGCTTCTGGCCAAACTAGACCATAGATTTAAGGTCGGCCATGTCTGATGTCAGACGTGATGTTTAAGATGCATTCCTAAAGATGCATGGACACATGAAAGTGCCTTTTACTGAATTAGATCCTTGGTCCATCCCTGACAGTGTTGTCTACTCAGACTGGCCACGGCTCTCCACGGTCTCAGGCAGGGGTCTTTCACATCATCTGCTGCCAGTCCTTTTAACTGGAGATGTCAGGAATTGAACCTGGGACTTTCTGCATGCCAAGAAGATGCTCCATCACTGACCTACAGCCCCTTCCTACAGAACTTCTGACATAATTGTGTTTGAGGTTCATAATGGTACATAACCCAATCTAGTTCTCTCAAGCCCCAAAAAGCCAAAAAGGAAAGGTCTGCACTGAATTCTCTTGTATGGGAGCAGATGCTCCATTAGTTTGGTGAGAGCCAGTTTGGTGTAGTGGTTAGGAGTGCGGACTAATCTGGGAGAACCGGGTTTCATTCCCCAGTCCTCCACATGCAGCTGCTGACTGACCTTGGGGAGGCCACAGTTCTCTCAGAGCTGTTCTCTCAATAACAATCAGCCTCACCTACCTCACAGGGTGTCTGTTGTGGGGAGGGGAAGGGAAAGGAGCTTGTAAGCCGCTCTGAGACTCCGAGTGAAGGGTGGGGTATAAATCCAATCTCTTCTCCTTCTAGTTCAGAGTAGCGGCCTTTACTTTTTGTAGTGGCGAACCTGTTGTATGGCTCCATTCCCACTGTCTTTGGTGCTCTGATTGTGCGCACGCGGCTTCTGAAATCAGAACAAGTTTGTATAGGTTTAGAATGATTGCATAAATGTGGGATACGGCTCCCAGTAATTTGTCAGCTTTTATTCATAGAAGATTAAATTCTCCAGAAATTCGATCCCCCTGCTGGGGGAAGAGAGCGTTCAAGCAAGGTTCATTTATAATTAATGAAGGCTGCAATGTGTAACGAAGTAAGGAATGCCATTCGTTGTGAATGAATGAAATGGATGAGGCGGTACTATGCTGTCAAAGCTTGGAGCAGAAGTTTCGATAAGCGATTCGGGTGGCTTATTTGGATGTGTTTGCCTGTTTCTTACATTGAATCACATGCATTTGGTCTCAAAGAGTATTTCAGGGTTTCCTAGCCTTTTCGAGTCCATTAATATTAATTTACCGTTTGAACCTTAGGCAACCTTTTAGTGAGTAATTCCAGTGGCACCTGGAAAAGTTAGATGGTGCTGATGCCTATGAGGATGAGATGAGTCCTTGTGTAGCAGGATCTTCCTTTCTTCCTTCTCTCCTTGCCCAAGAGTATTTCTCCATTTGATAGCAGACTTGGTGGTCCTCTGCCCATTCAGCAGGGCAATGCAATAGGGTCATGTAATGATTCCATTTTTGGTGTGTGTGTTTCGTTAAATGTTTAGTGTGACTGCAGTAATGTAAGGAGAGCGATAGAGGGAGACAAGTGTGATGTGACTGGCTGATGATGACTGAGAATGTGGGAGGAGAGATGTCTCTGAGGTGATTCTGTGTGACAAAGGATGCATATAGCCTGTGTGGCTATGAGCAAGAAAGTTTAACCTGTGTGGCTATGAGAGAGAAAGTTTAGCCTGTGTGGCTGAGAAAGTTCAGCCTGTGTGGCTATTTGAGCAAGAGAGTTCAGACTGTGTGGCTATATATGAGAGAGTTTAGAGTGAGTGTCTAAACCTGTCAGACGGGAATTTTGGTGTATGAGAGACTGTGTGACCCCAAGCCTTGTCAGTTATATTTTCTTTCTTCCACAACAGTTCAAAAAATACCCAGAAACCTATTTTGTTCTTCTATAAATAAATAATTATTTGTTTAAACTTATCCCAGCAATCAGAACAGTCCTTCCTCAGGGCCACATAGTCCTCTAAAGCGCCCAGACCCTAGGTCATTCTACTAAAAGAGAGAGATTTGGAATTTGTAATTCCTGGTGGCAGTAGAAATCTACTAAGTTCAAGTACACAGAGTGTGTTTTAAAGGAGAAACAGTCTCCCCTAGAAGCGAGGACACCACAGGTCACCTGTTTAAAAGGTATAGGTTTCTGTATACCTCTCCAGGCCAGCATGTGGATTAATGATTTTTTTAAAAAAGAGAAGAGAATTAAAGAGAAGAAACTAACAAAAACAAGCCAGTGGGGACTGAGCATGCTCACTGCTTTCCAGAGATGACAAGAGAGAGCATTAAAAAAAAGAGAGAGCAGGGGTGGAGAGTTTAACAATTAATCTGGAGAGGGATCAGATGAATTCAGTGGATCCATCTGAGATGCTGGTAGCATCTCAGACTAATGGGGTGGGAAGAAGAAGACCGGCTTTATACCCCCACATCACTACCTGAAGGAGTTTCAAAGTGGCTTGCGATCTCCTTCCTTGTCCCCTCCCCACAACAGACACCCTGTGAGGTAGAGGTGGGGCTGAGAGAGCTCTCTCGTGAACTGCCCTTGAGAGAACAGCTCTGAAAGAACTCATGACTGACCCAAGGTCACACCAGGAGCTGCATGTGAAGGACTGGGGAATCAAACCCGGTTCTCCCAGATTAGAGTCCGTGCTCCTAACCACTCCACCAAACTGGGAAGAGATTAAGGTTGGAAGACACCCTGCCCACCCCAGTCTGAGATGCTACCAACAATTAATGGTTCTGATCCACTGAAGCTGAAAGAGTCTTGGGGGAGAACTTACTGTAGTGGGAGAGAGAAGCACCCATATCCTTTAGTAATTTCATAGGGTGCAGTGGGAGTTAATGGGCGGGGTGGACTGGCCATTCATTTTACAGGGAAATTTCCCGGTGGGCGACTGCCCTAGAGGGCTGCAGGCAGCCGAGCCTCAGCAAACTCTACCAGCACCTCCAGGGGCCTCTTGGATCAGGTATTTCATTGAGAACTGGTCTCAGCTCACCAGTGTTCCCTCTAAGCTGTGGAGTCTTGTGAGAAGAATTCTACTTTGTGAGCTGCTGGCATGAAACCTGAGTTAGCGTGAGCCCAGCTCATGGTTTTTTTAGCCTCCAGCTCACCCATTTTTGGCTTAGCTCAGGAAGGGATGGAGCCAGTTTGGTGTAGTGGTTAAGTGGTTAAGTGGTGCGGACTCTAATCTGGGAGAACCGGGTTTGATTCCCCCACTCCTCCACTTGCACCTGCTGATGTGACCTTGGGTCAGTCACAAGCTCTGGCACAGCTGTCCTTGAAAAAGAGCAGTTCCTCTCAGAGCTCTCTCAGCCCCACCCACCTCACAGGGTGTCTGTTGTGGGGAGGGGAAGGGAGAGGAGTCTGTAAGCCGCTCTGAGACACCTTCGGGTAGTGAAGGGCGGGGTATAAATCCAACCTCTTCTTCTTCTTCTTCTTCTTGATCCATGCAGCAGCCAAATCCCCTGCTCACAACTTTAGTGCCAGTAGCACACAAAGTAGGATTTTTGCTCACAGGACTCCACAGCTTAGAGGGAGCATTGGGTCCCCAGTCTGCCACTTTTCGTAGAGGTTGGACGAAGAATGCTTGTTCTGACCACCGTTTTATCTCTCTCACACCCAAGGCACTCTTGTCGTTTGAAAGGACGGTATCCTGGAATAGGGTGGGGGTGGCCGTGAGGCAGCTCTTCTTTCTCCCCTATCCCATTCGCCCCCTCACACACACACACCCTGAGGTAAAACCATCCTTCTGTACTGTACAGCTCAGCTTTGGGGCTGAGGAGCTGCTTCCTGGTTCAAATATACAGTGGCCACTGGCAGAGGGGGGGGGTTAAGGTTGCCAGATCCAGGTTAGGAAACTCCTGGAGATTTGGGGGGGTGGAGCCTGGGGAGGACAGGGGCCCCAGTGGGGGTACAGTGCCATAGAGCCCACCTTCTAAAGCATCCTTTTCCACCAGAGGAACAGATCTCTGTAGTCTAGAGACGGACTATAATTCTAGGAGATCCTCCGGTCCCGCCTGGAGGCTGTCTTCCCTAGGCCAGAGGACGTGTGTGTGTTTTTCTGCATAACTGAAGCAGGGAAGACATCTAACGTCGTATCTTTGGTTGGTGGCTACTGTCCATTCTGAAATAGTGAGGAAGAAATTCCAGCCAATGCTCCCTCTAAGCTGCGGAGTCTCGTGAGCAACAATTCTACTTTTGTGAGCTGCCGGCATGAAAGTTGTGAGCGAGCGATTTGGCTACTGCACAAACTAGTTTGTTCTGGAGTCATCCTTCCTGAGCCAAGACAAGAACGTGTGAGCCAGAGGCTGAAGAACTGCGAGCTAGCTCACACTAACTCAGCTTAGAGGGAACACTGATTCCAGCTGCTTGTGGTGCGCAGTGAATCTTCTGCAGCTGGAGCTGTGGGGAAAGCCGGTGGCTCACTGCTTGGTTAAGGTTGGAGGAATGAGTTAGAGAGCCTTCTCTAAGGAAGGACAGGGAGAGAACCCACGCTAACTTGTCTTCTCTACTCCAATAACCCTTTTTTGATTGTGCCTTTCTCTGTTTGCTCTCCAGCCAGGCAAAGAAGACGGCGGCAAACTTCAGTCAGATGAAACCAGCCCAGAAGCGCCGGGTTCTGTAAGTACAGAGGCTAAGAGTCAAGGGAGACCCTTGTGGACAGCAAGGCCAGATGTCTGCCTTTGAGGCAGAAGCATTAGAGGAGATAAAAACAGGGCAGTCCTGTGGCCTCACTGTCTGGCAGCTGCTGTACCAGGCCTGACGCCAGCGTTGTGTGTTTCTTAAGATATTTATGCCCATTGTGGCTCAGGGTGGCTTACGATTCCAATTTTAAAAACATACAAGCAACAGTAAAAACCCCTTGCCTGCAGTCTGCACCCTGTTGGAAGTTGCAGCAAATAAAGCAGGCCTGCAGTGCCTCCTAAAAGCTCCTGAAGATGACAACCCTCAGGGAAGCCCATTCCACAGGGTGGATGCTCCCATAGGGAAAAAGATACAGGCTCAGGTTGGTGCCAAGCAAGCTGCCTTAAGTAGGGGAACAGCCTGTAGGTGGCAGTCTGAGGACCATAGCTGGTGCCCAGGGACGTAGGGGAAGAGACAACCCATTAGATCTCCCGGTCTTACGATCAGCTAGCAGCAGGGTCGTAGCTAGCCGGTAGCGGGGCGGCGCATGGGGCAGTGTCCCCTAGCATATCTGCAGCGCCCCACCCCAATCCCCCACCCTCGTGGGGAGGACGGACGCCTCGTGGAGAGGATGGGAGGAAGCTTTTCTCCTTCATCTGCAGCACTGAAAGGGTTAAACCAAGCAAGCGGCTTCCTAGAGGGGCCAAGCAAGGTGGGGAAGGGGAAATGGTCTTGGGGGGAGAGGAGGCTTTGCCAAAGAGAAAAGGGCAAAAGCCTGCAGCCGGATCCTGGGAAGGTTTACTCACAAGTAAGTCACTAGACAAGCTGCGGTGGCTCAAGTGGTTAAGACGCTGAACTGCAGGCTGTGGAAGGTCAGTAGTTCAGCAGTTCGAGACCCGGGTGCCGCATGATGGAGTGAGCTTCCATCTCTAGTTCCAGCTCCTGCCAACCTAGCAGTTCGAAAGCAAGAAATTGTAAGTAGATAAAGAGGTACCACTTCGGTGGGAAGGTAACAGCGTTCCGTGTGCCTTGGTGTTTAGTCATGCCGGCCACAGAAACATCTTTGGACAGCGCTGGATCTTCGGCTTTGAAACGGAGATGAGCACCGCAACCCTAAAGTCGGATTTGACTGGCTTTCGAGCAAAGAAACCTTTACTTTTAAGTCACTAGAGGGGATCAGGTTTTCAGTCCTGGAAGACAGAAATGCGGCTAGCGAGTGTTTTTGACGGGGAGCTTGTATCACTCAGTTATAAATTGTAATGGCTTGAGCTTCTTGTGGCAAAACCGGGAAAACCAAGTCGCAGGAGCTGCACAGGAGAGGGTAACGGAAGGGTGTGGGGGGGAGGGCTTTTCCATTTCCAATGGCCCCGACTGCTTCCTGTCGGACGGTTCGGATCATCCTTTTATCGATGGGGTAAAGTCTCCAGGGTCCAGCATTCCCACAACCTTTGTTACGTTTACTTTAATTTATTTAATTGGTGGTGCCCCCTCTCCCGGAAAAATTCCTGGCCATGGGGCTGGCTAGCAGTAGAGTCAACTTCCTGGAATGGCTTGGAGATCAAAGCGAAGGTAATCCTGATCAGTAAATGGGGTTAGGGTCAGATTTTCCTCCAGGCCATATTGGCCCAGGGATCCTTGAGGTTTTTGGGTCTTGCTCCGGGCACAGAGCAGGGGTCACTGGGGGAGTGGTGGGGACGTAGCTGCCAACTTCCTGCATCGTGTAGGAGGACGGACTAGATGACCCTTTGGGTCCCTTCCAGCTCTGTGTTTCTATGGTGCTGCTCACTGACAAGCTGCATATGAGCCATGAGACAAGTCTTCAGTCAATGCGTGGTGACAGTGGTAAAGCCACGATCATGCCATACTGTCCTGTATACTCACTCTCACTCCAGGGAATAGTGGATGGTGCTTACTTCATGTGGGTGTATTAAGAACATATAAGAACATAAGAGACGCCAATGTTGGATCAGGCCAAAGGCCCCTCCAGTCCAACACTCTGTGTCACACAGTGGCCAGAAATACCAGGTGCCATCAGGAGGTCCACCAGTGGGGCCAGGACATTAGAAGCCCTCCCACTGTTGACCCCCCCCCCCCCAAGCACCAAGAAGACAGAGCATCACTTGCCCCAGAGCCCCTATCTATACCTTGTGGCTAATAGCCACTGATGGACCTCTGCTCCATATGCTTATCTAATTCCCTCTTGAAGTCGTCCATGCTTGTAGCCTCCACCACTTCCTATGGCAGTGAATTCCATGTGTTAATCGAATCTGGGGGGGCAGAAGCATAGCTCCCCAGGTCTGGCATAACCAAAACCACAAAAACTTTGGGAAGGGGCTGTGGCTCAGTGGTAGAGCACCTGCTTGGCATGCAGAAGGTCCCACGTTCAGTCCCTGGCATCTCCAGTTAAAAGATCCGGTGGTAGGTGAAGTGGAAGACCCCTGCCTCTGAGACCTTGGAGAGCTGCTGCCACCCTGAGTAGACAATACCGATTGCGAAGGGTCTGATTCAGTAGAAGGCGGCTCCGTGTGTTCACCGCTGCCTTTGTGAAACAAAACCTTTTGTTGCTGCTGGTTCACTCACAGCTCGCTGTGTCACGCAGTGCCCCCTGCTCTTCCCGCCTTATACTGCTTAAGGAAATGGCAGTCTCCAGGGACTGTCCGGATCCAAGCTATGTCTGGCAGCCTCCTTACGGGCACACCTAGAGCCAGCGGCTCATCCTGCAGGAGCGGGAGGTTGTGCTGTCTGTTTCTCCCCTTTCTTGTCCTCCGCTCCCTTGTCCTCCGCTCCCTTCTTGTCCTCCGCTCCCTTCTCTTGGACCTGGTTTCCCTGTTGTTCTCACTACTAACCACAGCATCATTGTGCCTGGCTTGCACCCTTTCGTCCCCTTGCCCTGACCTGGGCCCTCTCCCTCAGCAGCTTGCGTCTGGCCGCAACCTCCTAGCTGCCTCCCAGTGAGTCCACCTCTCGCCTTTTCCTCGGGCTGCCGGTCTTCCTCCTCCTGCCTAGCTCCATCCGAGGATTGCCTCCCTCGCTTCCTGGCCACTGCTTCCCTGGGAAGGTGGAACATCTGAACTCTTCCCCGGCCAGTGAGTGTATCCATCGCAAGGCATCTCATTATCTGGCTTCCCCTGAATTTCCTGGCCACACCGGTGGACTGTAAACCAGAAGGTGTTTGCCAGCTCTCGATTCGCGTCGAGACTTCCGGCTGCAGCGGATCCTCCCCGGCTCTTCTTTCCAAAGCAAAAGTGGCCTTTGGGAGTCAGTTTGTCCTTGGGAGTTTTCCTCTTCCTGCCCCAGTGATCTGATGATGTGTTTGCCTGGGGCCAAGCACTCTGCTCCACTGAAGTGGACTGTGCTAATGCGAAATCTGGCAACTTGCCTTTCCCCCCCTCCGGGGTGTTCGTTTGCCGGTCACTGGGGGGTGGGGGGGGGAGCGGGTGGCCGCTTCCAAAGCAGTCAGCCCAAGGCAGTTCTGTCAGATCCATATTTTTCTCTCCCTCCTCTCTGGCCTCCGTCCTGCTTGTGCCATTAAAAAAAAATCCTCAGGTCAAGCAGAAGGTGGCATTAGCCATCGAAAGGCCATCCTGTTTATCCCACGGACCTAATTTTTCAGAAGCGCTAGCGCCGTAAACGCTGAGAATGTAACAGAAACAACCAAAGACTGCCCTGGCTAGGGATGCTCATGGCCAGTGCTCCCTCTGAGCTGTGGAGTCTTGCGAGCAAAAATCCTACTTGGTGAGCGACTGGCATTCAAGTTGTGAGCGAGCGATTTGGCTCCTGCATAAATCGGTTTGCTCTGGATCCATCCGGATTGCAATAAGCCACCCTGGGGGGCTTGCTCCGCTCCGCCAGGCGATATATTCCAAGAGAAGAAGCCAAGGTCCAGTGCTCCCACCTCCTGGTGGTTCTGCCATGGAGAGGGCAGTGTCGATTCAGCTCCGATAGGATGGAGTTCGTGCAGGTCAGGGAATGAGGATGCAACATTGTCAAGAAAAGAGCTGCCCGCAGAATAGGGAGGGAGCAATGTTCCCTCTAAGCTGCGGAGTCTTGTGAGCAGAAATTCTACTTTGTGAGCTACTGGCATTAAAGTTGTGAGCGAGCAATTTGGCCACTGCATAAATTAGTTTGCTCTGGAGCCATCCTCCTGAGCTAAGACAAAAATGTGTGAGCCAGAGGCTAAAAAACTGTGAGCTAGCTCACACTAACTCAGCTTAGAGGGAACACTGGGAGGGAGCCCTGCTTTTTCCATTAGGGGCTCTTCCGGGGGGGGGGGCAAGCCCCTCAATGTTGGAGCCACTTCTGAAGCTGTATCCTTCAGGATCACTTTTGCAACGGAACTGCCCACTGTTCACACACACACACACACACACACACACACACACCGGTTTGGTGTAGTGGTTAGGAGCGCGGACTGTAATCTGGGAGCACTGGGTTTTGATTCCCCACTCCTCCACATGCGGCTGACCTTATACTATAGGAATGGCCTCTGACAGAGCTGCTTTGTTCCCCTTATGCATTTCCCCCTTGATCCAAGCTAAAAGGTTGGCCTGGGCATTGTCCACTGACAGACCCAGAGCTGGGGTTTCTGCCTGTTTCGATTCAAGAAGGGAACCTTGAGCAGAGCTGTTCTCTCGGCAGCAGTCCTCGAAGGAGCTCTCTCACCCCCACGTACCTTACAGGGTGTCTGTTGTGGGGAAGGGAAAGGAGACTGTAAGCTGCTCTGAGACTCTGAGTGAAGGGCAGGGCATAAATCCAATCTCCTCTTCTTCTCCCCAACGTCAAATGTAGGAATCTGACATCCATTAGTGTCAAACAAGGTTGTTTGTTTTGCTATGCTTAACATACACCTAGCATTACTGAGGAACAGGTTGTATCGCACAGCCGTGAACATCCACGAGGCTGCTGTATACTGAATCAGATCATTGGTCCTTCGAGGCAAGTATTGTCTGTTCCAATCTCCTCTTCTTCTCCCCAACGTCGAATGTAGGAATCTGACATCCATTAGTGTCGAACAGGGTTGTTTGTTTTGCTATGCTTAACAGACACCTAGCATTACTGAGCAACAGGTCGTATCGCACGGCCGTGAACATCCACGAGGCTGCTGTATACTGAATCAGATCATTGGTCCTTCGAGACAAGTATTGTCTGTTAAGACTGGCAGCAGGTCTCCAGACAGAGGACGTTTCCAATCCCCTACAACCTGATCCTTAACGGGAGACACCCGGGATTGAACCTGGGACCTTCTGCATGCAAAGCAGGAAGGTTTTGGGGGTGTAAGCTTTAATCTGATGAAGGGAGCTTTGACTCTTGAGAGCTTATATCCCCAAAATCTTGTTTGGCTCTCTACAGTTCTACTGGACTCGAATCTAGTTGTTGTGCTGCAGACCAACATGGCTACTCTCCGGTATTCTTTAGAGGCAGCCCCATATTGGTCCTCCAGTCTCCCAGGGCCACTTCTCCTAGTTCACCCTGTCCCTTCCCTTCCCTCCCCCCGGCAACCCCCCTGCCAAAGAGTCGTGACGTGCTTTTCGATTCCAACCCCCAGTTGGAACCCCCCAGATTCCAACCCCTGCCCTCGAGGGCTCCAGGGCCTCCAATCCCAGCATTCTCAATGTATAGAACGTCCATCCAGCTGTTGGTGGAGATTGTGGGTCAACCGCAGGCCCACGCCAGCTGCCTGGCTTCCTGCAGTATGTGCCTTCCTGTGCCCTGGCGTCATCTGGCGTGCTCAGAAGTGTGCCCGCAAAAGAAAACCACACCATATTTTAATAATATGTAATAATCTAAACACATGAGCAGGGAAAGGTAGAAAAATTAATGTGTTTCTGAGCCATGTAGTTCTCTAGTGCCGCCAGGTGTTGAAACAGAAGTGTACTTTTCTGCACTAGAAACAGTCATCTCGACAACTAGCAAATCCAATTTGCAGAATCGTGGAATTAGTTATGTGTACTGGGTGGTATGTGTACTAGGAGCTGCGGTGGCTCAAGTGGTTAAGGCGCAGAACTGCAGGCTGTAAAAGGTCAGTAGTTCAGCAGTTCGAGACCCGGGTGTGCCACATGATGGAGTGAGCTCCCATCTCTAGTTCCAGCTCCTGCCAACCTAGCAGTTCGAAAGCAAGAAATTGCAAGTAGATAAATAGGGACCACTTCGGTGGGAAGGTAACAGCGTTCCGTGCGCCTTGGTGTTTAGTCATGCCGGCCACATGACCACGGAAACGTCTTCGGACAGCGCTGGCTCTTCGGCTTGGAAACAGAGATGAGCACCGCAACCCTAGAGTCGGACTCAACTGGCTTTCGAGCAAGGAACTGGGTGGAGGGGCCGGTGTTCATCTTCCGCAATCTGGAAATTGGCACCATGTGTCATTTTGAGGAGCACCGATGAGATGGTAGAGGAAAAGGGGTGAACGGCATGGTGGTGTATAATAGGACGAAGGGAGAGAACTGTGTGTGTGAGAGAGAGCCAGTGTGGTGTCGTGGTTAAGAGCGTCAGATTCTAATCTGGAGAACCGGGTTTGATTCCCCACTCCTCTACAGGAAGCCTACTGGGTGACCTTGGGCCAGTCCCAGTTCTCCCAGAGCTCTCTCAGCCTCACCTGCCTCAAAGGGTGTCTGTTGTGGGGAGAGGAAGGGAAGGCGGTTGTAAGCTGCTTTAAGACTCCTTTGGGTAGAGGAAAGTGGGATATAAAAACCTACTCTTCTTCTACCTTGTGCACGTGTCCATGTCCATGAGTCCCACACCCAGGGTGACTAATTTTAGTCAAGGTCTGAGAACTCTCCTGATTTTATTGGGAAATGTATGCTTCCCTCTGTGCCAGCGAACCAGAATTGTAGATGCAATATTTTTTTTTTTGCTCTTTCTTTCCAGAGAGGATGATATTGCACAGTTCCACAAGGTGCTGTCCGACCCCTTGTTCAAAGCCAGCCCTCTGGCACTCATCGGCGTTCATCTTTCCAAAAGATTGAAGCAGGAGAGGGAGGGAGAACCCCTCTAGCATCCTCACCGGGACAACTGGAGAGCACCAGAGACTGGATTCTGTTTACACACACCCGCCCAGGAGTTCAACGTCCCTTTCAAGTCCACGGGATTGCAATGACCTCGAGTGACCTCATTTTCTGTCAACAGAAATAATGCTGCCAGCCCCGCCGATTTAGACTGCTAGCTGTAGCTACAGCCCTGACTTATTGTTTTGCGGAGAGCTCGGTGGATCTGTGATTATCCTCATCGCCCACTCCCGTGTTAAGTCACAGGCCAGCTGTTGTTTCTGGGAAGCAAAAGTTTAAAGCCACCATCCTCTCTCCGCCGGGTAGTATTTGCGCCAATCCCCTGAAATACGTTGCTTTATTTAATCGGGGTTAATGGCTGCCGCTCCTTCCCGTTTCCATGCACAATTGAGTTTAAAATAAATTTCTTGGTTTCCTTAAAGGATCTGAGGTTTTTTTCTTATTTGGGTGGATGTGTGTGTGTTATTGTATCATAGAAAAACAGATTACTTAGCAAATGGTTCGTTTTCTTTGAGAGGCTAGCAGCAGCACAGGAGAGAATACAGGCAGCCCCATCCTAACTTTTTAGATGAATGAAGGACTCTGACTCGGGAACCATGCTTTTCCTGAGCGAATACATTGGTACACAGCAGGGAAATCTGGTGGAATCCAAGGGCTGCAATGCAGAGACAAGCAATGGCAAACCGCCACAACTGAATCTTGGAAGCTAAGCAGGGTTTAGTATTTGGATGGGAGGCCACCAAGGAACACCCAGGTTGCTATTCAGGGGAAGATCGGGGTTAATGGCTGCCGCTCCTTCCCATTTCCATGCACAATTAAGTTTAAAATAAATCTCTTGGTTTCCTTAAAGGATCTGAGGTTTGTTTCTTATTTGGGTGGACGTGTGTGTGTTATTGTATCATAGAAAACCAGATTACTTAGCAAATGGTTCGTTTTCTTCCAGAGGCTAGCAGCAGCACAGGAGAGAATGCAGGCAGCCCCATCCTAACTTTTTAGATGAATGAAGGACTCTGACTCGGGAACCATGCTTTTCCTGAGCGAATACATTGGTACACAGCAGGGAAATCTGGTGGAATCCAAGGGCTGCAATGCAGAGACAAGCAATGGCAAACCGCCACAACTGAATCTTGGAAGCTAAGCAGGGTTTAGTATTTGGATGGGAGGCCACCAAGGAACACCCAGGTTGCTATTCAGGGGAAGGTAATGGGAAGGTGGCTGCGGTGGCTCAGTGGTTAAGACGCTGAACTGCAGACTGGAAGGTCGGTAGTTCAGCAGTTCGAGACCCGAGTGCCGCATGACGGAGTGAGCTCCCGTCTCTGGTTCCAGCTCCTGCCAACCTAGCTGTTCGAAAGCAAGAAATTGCAAGTAGATACATAGGTACCTTCAGTGGGGAAGGTAACAGCGTTCTGTGCACCTTGGTGTTTAGTTTTGCCAGCCACATGACCATGGAAACATCTCTGGGCGGCGCTGGCTCTTCAGCTTGGAAATGGAGATGAGGACCGCAACCCTAGAGTCAGATTCGACTGGCTTTTGAGCAAGGGAAACCTTTACCTAATGGGAAGGTACGCAGTGGAAGGTAACTGTCTGTTGTCTGGAACACCCCGTGGGAAGGTGACTCATTGGCACCTTCTTCTCTGTAAAGATGCACAAAAACGAAGTCTGCTGATAGCAAGCCAAAGACGGAAAGCTGAACTAGTCAATCTGTTTTGTTCAGTTCCCAGAAGGATAAACTGCGGCCACAAAACTATGTTGGAGAACAAGGGAAATGAAGCAGGAGAAACTGTTTTGGAAGTCCGGTTCCCTCCTTGAAAGAGTTGTAGGCTGGAGGAAGATGAAAAAAAGATAGTGCCCATCACAACGAAAGTGGGAATTGAAGAAACACATTTGCCTGTTGCTAAAAGGGAGTTTAATTAAGAGAACACTGGCCAGAAGAAAGTGGCAACATTTTTAAAGGAAGAAACCATGCCATTCTTTCTCTGGCAACATGACAGATCTGGTCAGTGAGTGGAAGCAGAAGAAAAGCCTTTCTAAGACTTTTGGGACATTCATAAAAACAAGATTATCTGCTAAACGACAGAAGCTTAAGGTGGAAAGTCGGTGGAGCAAACGCTAAGAAAACAGGGAGATGAAAAGGCCTGCCTTGGGGGTCCCAGAGCCTTAGCTGCTGTTTTGCAGAATGATTTCCTTGTTGCAGGGAAGCCCGAGGTTCTTATCTCAAAACACCCCTTTCTTTAACGGCAATGTCGCACCTTCTCACTGGGCACCAATATGTCGCCCCTAGGAAAAAGCTGCTTTCAGTGGACACCCATGTGACATGTTCTTTGCTGCTGGGATGGGGCTGCTCACTGAACAATCCCGGTCATGAGCCATGCAAGTTTGCCCCGCCCCTAAATGCCCTGACTATTCTTCTCCATCAAAGGTCCCCAATGTGGAGCCAGTGGGGTACCACGGTGCCCGCTGACACCATTCGTGGTGCCCTCAGGAAGTGTTTTCAGAAAGTGGGTGGGGCTTTGGCCCAGAAGGGCTTCTTAATCGGCCTTTGGAGATCTGATTGGCTGTGAAGGTTTTAAAAAAAAAAATGCATCGCTTTGGCAACAGCGGCCACCACAGCACTGCATGGCTGAAGGGCAAGCTTTCTGTAAGCAATAAAATATTTTTAAACAATAAATTTAATTTGAAATGGCGCCCTGTCAAGCAGAGCTTGTGCCTGGAATGTTGAAGGGTTGCTGTTAGAGTTAGGCGTGACCTCACTGCCTGACGGTTTGTCGTTGGCTCCGCCCCCTGTGGCAGCCATTTTGCCGTTGCACCCACCACACTGTGTCAAAACCCCAAAAGTGCCCATGGGGCTCAAAAAGGTTGGGGACCGACCCCTGCTCTACATACTGGCTTCAGAGTCACAGCGCTCAGCCCCAGGTGACTTCTCACAGAGACCTCTCTTTAAGAACACAGCAAATGCCTGGCCCCCTATCAAAACGCTCCCGCTAGGATGTAAAACGTTGGGGACCGACCCCTGCTCTACATACTGACTTCAGAGTCACAGCGCTCAGTGACTTCTCACCGAGACCTTTCTTTAAAAACACAGCAAATGCCTGGCCCTCTGTCAAAAAGCTCCCGCTAGGATGTAAAAAGCATTCCATTTTAATTCTTTAAAGGACTGTAGAGTCTCCTCCTCTCCCAGGGTGGATGAAGTGTGAGTCCAGACGGGGGGCAGGGAAGAAAACGTGTAATTATTCCCGTGACCAGGCAGCCAAGAATTTAGGCGAGCAAACAGAAATGCGTCTGGAGACTTTGTTTTGTCTGGTAATCTGGGATAAAAATATTTAGCGAAACACCATTATCATTTGCCTTCGTTGCGGTGACGGTTTTGCGCATATTCTCCCTCCCATACTTTTGCAAGCAGTGCCAGGGTGGGAGGCGCGAGTGAGTTGAGGACATGCCGGTTTTCCAGTATTAAGTTGCTTTAAAAAAAAAAAAAAACAGAAACACAACACTTGGATTTCATGCAGAGTATGTCAGGAATTGTATTGTTCCATTCTTTACAGCTTATTTTAATACCTCCTCATTCAGCAACGGAATTAGCGGTCTTACATTCGTTCCAGTTAGATGAGAATGCCGTCAGCTTTGTGCCAGAAAACTCTTTAAGAGGCAGGCGTCCCAGGCAGTTGGACTTTCTTCCCACATTGGCTCTGACCGGGTTTGAGCAATAAATGGCATTCTGCTGTAGAGTCTCGGGGGTTCTAATAGGCGGTTCCCCACAGTCATGACCAAATTCTAATTTGTCACTATTGCAAGTGGGTAGGGGTTGTCAACTCTGAATTGGGATTTGGGAGAGTGGGGTTTGCGGAGGAGAGGTAGAGTCCACCCTGCAAAGGGCGAGCTTGGTGTCGTGGTTAAGAGTGGCAGACTCTAATCGGGAGAACCGGGTTTGATTCCCCCACCCCTCCACATGAAGCCAGCTGGGTGACCTTGGGTCAGTCACAATTCCTCTCAGAGCTCTCTCAGCCCCACCTACCTCACAGGGTGTCTGTTGTGGGGAGGGGAAGTGAAAGGAGATTGTAAGCCGCTCTGAGACTCCTGAGTGAAGGGCGGGGTATAAAACCAACTCTTCATCTTCTCTTCAAAGCAGCCAATTTTCTCTGGGGAACGGGTCTCTGTCATCTGGAGATCAGTTGTAATTCTGGGAGATCTCCAGGCCCTGGAGGTGGACAGGCCTACGAGTGGGGGACTTACCTCAATGCCTCTTGTCCATCTCACAGCCTAGAGGTGTCGGAGTGCTTTTGGGGAGCAAGAGTGTGGAAGCTAGATGTGGGGGGGGGGACAGGAGCGGGTGGCAGTCAAGAACATGAGGCCCTTTTTCCTTTCCCTCTAGAAACTTCTGTTGTTTGAAGGGTTCAGGTCGGAATGGGGCCTACCCCAAGCCTACTTTAATACTGTGAGATGAAGTGTTTCTTGAAGATGTGAAAGGGGCTCCATTCCTCCCCCCTTTCCCCCCCTTGGAAACCAAACCC